CAGCGCGCCGCAGACTCAACATTCTGACGGAGAGTTTGGCACAGACTGCAGTGGAAGAAGATAGCGGCGTGGCGAGCAGAACCACCGCATGAACGAATGCTTTAAAGGGGGGACGAGTGTGGTGTTGTCTACTTATATCCATATAAGTAGTATATGGCGTGGGTCAGACATAGAATGTATTTTGGCAGAAGACCGATGAGCAAAGAACTGAAATGAAGCGCAATCGTTTGGAAAATGCATGAGCAATGGAATTAGAGAAGAAACAGTGAAGATTGAAACAATTGGTTATTAATTTGCAAATTGACTGTTCATTGTTTGGTTATCAGAATTTACCGAGATAGTCTGTAATGTTTGCTCAAATACATTCGATTGTCCCCAACTAGTGTTTTGTTCGCTACATTTGGTGTCGCTGCCAACCAGGAGGAGGAAGGGTGCTGTTCTGCGGACGCCGCTGCGGGTCTGGAGTGGAGGTGCTAGTTGGGGCAGTCTGGTGAGGAGAGGTGGCGTCGAGTGGAGTGTTCTGGCGGGGCGGCGTTGGCTGTAGCGGGTGCTGTCGACGGAGAGGAGCAGTGGGACGTGCGGCTGCTGGGCGGACATCGGATGTAGATGGCTCAGCAGGCCGGTGGAGTACGGGTGTTGAACGTCCCAGGTGCCGGGTGGATGCGGATGTTGGTGCCCCGGCAGGTCGACGGAGCTATGGAGGTCAGCGCGCCGCAGACTCAACATTCTGACGGAGAGTTTGGCACAGACTGCAGTGGAAGAAGATAGCGGCGTGGCGAGCAGAACCACCGCATGAACGAATGCTTTAAAGGGGGGACGAGTGTGGTGTTGTCTACTTATATCCATATAAGTAGTATATGGCGTGGGTCAGACATAGAATGTATTTTGGCAGAAGACCGATGAGCAAAGAACTGAAATGAAGCGCAATCGTTTGGAAAATGCATGAGCAATGGAATTAGAGAAGAAACAGTGAAGATTGAAACAATTGGTTATTAATTTGCAAATTGACTGTTCATTGTTTGGTTATCAGAATTTACCGAGATAGTCTGTAATGTTTGCTTAAATACATTCGATTGTCCCCAACTAGTGTTCTGTCCACTACAGACTAAGTAGAAACATACAATTATTAGCTGATCGTAAATGGAAGCAGATGGAATCGCCATATCATACATATTGTCATATAAGATTGTAGTTATATGAAAGGATGGGTTTCTTTATAACTGTGACTTGACACTTCACGTTGTCTAGTGAATAATACAGACGGTTTATATTGATATTTGAGTTGATAGAATATTAGACATATTCTGAGATGTGTTCAAGCTACCAACCACTAATTTAAAGCTATTGATAAAAATTGTTCCTAGTTCAAACAGAAGATATTTTTGTAAGATATATGTAGGATAGAACATGAATGGGTATGATTATACATAGCAAACTAAATCAGTTACAATCAAGGAAACATTCATGAATTTGTAGACCATCCATTTGCCAATGTTCAACATACGTGAAATATCAAGCTTTTTTTCATTACTTATAAGAGTATGTTTCTCACGGAGGATTTCATTTTAAGCTACAACTTTCATTAAAATCGTAAACCGATCTAAGTTAAAACACTAATGAAAACTTGAAAACATTGGATGGCCGTTTCGTCTCAGTTTGGAACTTTTCAGAAGTTTATTTTCTCTTTTTTCATCTGGCTCTACAGTATTGCTTTCGTAGAATGCATTTATAGATAGCTTCAGATTATTAAAATGAAATCCCAAGTAAAAAATATACACTTTTATATGCAGTGCTGACTCATAAAATAGACGGAAAAAGTGGTAGCCATTGCACTTTCATTAAACATTGAAAAGGGATGGTTATCCTCACCTTTGTATATCCACACGAATATTTCTTTATACTACAGCACTCTAGTGAGGATCTATTTGGAAAAAAATGTTGTTCGATTATATTTGTTGTTGTAATTTTTCCCTTGTCTGTTTTGCCTATTTTAATCTCTTTTCTTTTGGTGAAACCAGACACCAGTTTGGATGCATTCAATCCGTTAAAGTGGAAAATTTCGCCAATGATGTTAACCTCGTGATTTTTATTAAGTTGGATATGCTGAAAGCTTCTGGTCAAACATGCATGTAATTACTGTGCATCGGATTTCTCACTAATGACAATCTTTCTATCCACTTAACAGAAAATCTAACTGTATCTTTCAACTCTAAGTTGTGATGAGACAAAGAATTAAACGACAAACATTTACGAAAAGAGTTTTAACAAACGATCGTATAACGTATTAAGAAGCATGTAAAATGTAAATGACCAAGTCCGGTAGCGAAAAAGATTTCAGTAGGTCTTTTGGCAAAATTAGTGAAGACTTCAGAAAAGTACTGTAGAGTAATTAAAGTTGAACTAAAATAGATTATTCCTTTTCATTCAATGAAAATAATGGACAACATTGAATAAGATATTAATATTCATAGAATGAGTGGATATTGCTGTATGCTTGACGATGAGATTGCATGAAAAATATAAACAAAATAATGTAAAATATTATTCGTAATCAATAAGTAAGCTTAATAAAGTCATGATAAGGGATCAAGATAATAATAATAATCCGGAACAACAATATTCAAATTTAAATTCACTTAGTATTGTTTGTTTGAATTTTCCCATTGATGTTTTAGGACGGAAACTGGTCAGTCTCTTATTGGCATATGTGCATACTGCGCGTATTGCATCGATATAGCCTAAATTTACCTGCATCTCAGAGTTGATGTTCATTCAGGGACTCGAACCGAGTAACTTTCACTTCGAACGCCATGGCGTTATCCCAGAGTGAACATCAACTCTGAGATGCAGGTAAGTCCAGCTGACGAGTCCCAAATAGGACGAAACGCGCGTCCTGGATTCCACTGCTAGCCACTATCCATCTTTGCTTACCAATATTCAAATTTGAATACACTAAACAGTATACATACTTCATAGACAAATTGAAATTATCTATTCACAGTAGATTGTCATTATTTTATTGTTTACCTCTCAGATGAATTATGTAAGCTGGAAGAAATGTATAGGTGGAAAATCAATGAATGTAATGCTTTCTCTTTTCATCTTCAGATTTATGTCAAGTTTTACTTTACTGAAGTCTGTTCAACAACTAATATGAATGAAAAAGAGCGAACAAGTTAAAACAAAAACAATAAAATAATCAGTATCAAATATGATTATTCAGCTTTTTAATTTTTAATTTATGATGATTAATTTTTGGCGGCGAGACTGTAATTTATGGACGAACCAATCAGATTTAGAATGACAGGTCTCGGATTTTGGCGCGAAATTAATCCACGCATTTGTCTTAACAGCATTTTGACATTTTAGATGATATCAGTTCGTAATGAAAACTATTGATCTAATTTTTTACCCTAACCATCAATTGTAAATCATAATCCTTTTTTTCAAAGTGTTTTATAACCCTCATTTAGCCCTAGTAAGTGGACACTCAAGGTCACATTAGCATCGCTCAAAGGTTGTCCATAAATTATAGTAGCATCCTTTTAATTTCTGCTTTGAATCCAGTGATATGACTTAGCGTTATGTGGCTCCTGTCATTTTTTTCAAGTAGTAATATAGCTTATAAGAACTCTCGTCTAAATTAGAACGAATAGTTTCACAGTATTTGAGCGCCGAGTTGAAGTAAGACATTAAATAGGAATAATATATTTGTAAAATCTCAGCGAAAGAATTTTTAAATTATTTATATTTATATTCGATAATTTTGATGTTTGATTATAATTCCTTGAAAAAGCTTGGACCAGATTGCCAGGCGAAACGTTGGATTTAATTTAAAAATTCTTTCGCTGAGATTTTACAAATATATTATTCCTATTTAAAGTAATATAGCTTATTAGAAAATTGGAATAATTAAAGAGTGTTTGATCCTGGACTGCAGATGATCATAAGAGTTAAATAACTGAAGTTGATTTATTTCCCTGAAATTCAGACAGAGGTCCCACTTTGAACCTCTTAAAACAAATGGTCGGATTGCTTTGCGTCTCCGACTTTTATCACATTCCTTAAACAAATTTTAATAAAACAGTGAAGGTATACAGATTACAACTTTTTAAGTGATCATTTAGGAATAAGATACTGTAAATTATTTAGTTATGCAAGGATTTCGAAGAAATAGGTCAATCATGATCAATTATGAGGTTCATTGCATACGCAGTTAAGTGCAAATACATAATATAATTTTAGAAACAAAAAAGTGTTACATTTAAAATTAGTTGCCCGTCGGAAAGAGTTCAACTGACACATAAACCGTTCTTGGAATTTACACGAACATTCAAAACCATTATCTATTAGATTAAATTATTCTATAACAGATGTTCTAAAATGTTAATCTCACAATGTTAGAATGACAGAAATCTTAAAGTATAATAAAGCCAAATTCATCAATCTCTTAGATATGTTTAGATTTGGAAATTGTCATCTCTTCTCAGCAAAAAAGCATCATACAAAATGTGATTATTTTCAGTTTCAAACAAAAGTCGGTTTTGCCTTCCTTTCTGAAAGTCTTGGAGTTACCATTAGTGAGAATAATTTAAGACAACCTAACATCTACCATATTATATCTGTATGACCATAAATCAGTTGTTTTATGAGTATTAAAATATGCGACGTAATATTCCGCTAAAAACAAATCGTACGATGTATGCCATATCTCAACGACATGTAAGCCAATCTATCATGGGAGCAAAATTGAGATAGAATATTAAATGAACAACTGGATCATGCAAACTATGTTCAAATGCCAATATAAAGCTGTGTGTGACTTTTGAGGGGGGAAATAAAGTGTTAATTTGAGTTCTCCTGACCAGTCATGGTTTTGTGATTTGTCAATCAATAAACATGCTCCAGTAACCAATGAATTTTCTCCGATTGACCAAAGTGAAAATAATGATAGACAGACACGTACCACATGGCTAGTAAATGTACATGCAGTATTGATCGTTCATGCCACGTACGTGATAACAAACCGAACTAGTAATCTTATTTACTATTATATTAGATGCTGACTGTTGTGATCATCAGTGCAACGACATATGGAGTCTCCTAGTTTGGATGCAGATTATATAAATGAATATTCAACGCTAAAAATGTTGCGTATCAATAAAATAATTCCATCTACTGGATAACCAAATATAAACAAAGCTAATTTTATGTCAGGAGTTTTTGGTATTGTCTGGGAACATATGCTTCAAAACTTGATTCAATCTAATGGTTCTGGTAACAGTCCCGCAAACATAAAATCTAAGGATCATGAAAAGGATAAAGAAAATTTAAGTAAACTAAAATTAATAATATTACGTTTACATTGATCTGTTTCATATTCTTCTGGTCTTCATGTGGCTTTAAGCAGTTGGAATGTACGGAACAAATTGTTAGTAAAGATAGTTTTTTGAAAAGTGATTATGAATCCCGAACTATTAATTGTCGAAAAGCTGTAAGTGTTTCTACACGTTTTTAAATACTTTTCGTAATCATGTACAATTTAGACCATATAACGTTTTCTTTTAAGAATTACCGATGTAATAACTGCAAACGAGTCAAGTCGCTTATCATTAATGGAATATCATGAAATATTTGCCATTTGCATTGATTATGTTTACCTAAAAATCATTTCCTACATCGCACAGAGTAATTCTAGTAGTAGATATTTCAAATATTTTTCTAAACTGATGACTTCTGTAGCAAGATCACTTAATTTATCAATTTGTTGTGTACGAACTATATTATTCTGTAAGATTAACTAGCACAAAACAGGATATTGGGAGTTTCATAGTATACAAAGACTATGGAAATTTTAGATATGCGACCATTAGGTCTATACAACATCAGGTTTCTTTAGTCCCACTTTAAACGTAAACTAACTTCCCGATTGTAGACTTGAAATTTTGGAGACAAAACTATACCACAAAAATAGCGAATCAATCAACACATTTGCCGGGTATTTTGGTTTGAGCGTCTAAGTTTGGGGGCTGTTTATACTACCTGGTTGTCCAAACCAAAGTTGGGTAGCGGATTTCGAACCCAAGACTTAGTATCTGACAGTCGAATGTCGTAAGTACAAATCCACCACTCCATCACAGCAACTAAATAAAATCTGATTCAGTTTAAACCCGGTGGCAAACTTTAAACTGGTTGCTTGAAATGACCCAGTTAGGATATTTAAAGTTAATCACAACGATGTTTATTCACGTGCTGTCTATATTAATATGAATATGCTACACCCATTCACAAGTCGCTTCATCTAATCGATTCAGATTGGTAGTTATCTTTTTACTATTGATCCATTCAGTTTTTTCCTACATTGCAATAACTTCATCTACAGATGTATCTGGTCTGACAACTTTCTACCCTTTTTTTCCCAATAGACAGTTTCAGTCTTTGAAATAAGGCATTCTTCATATTTAAATCTTCATCCTCACTTTAAAAGTTTTAGAACCAACCCTTTACATGCCTGGAACTATACAGAACTTCAAAATTAATTATTAGTTGGTTTCATATACAGACGGCTGAGGGTTATATTAGGTAGATAATAGTTTTAAATTTTGATGGAGTATAAAATTCACTAACGCTGTACATATATTTTTGCATCAAGTCAAGACTGCTGTCCAAGGAGATATAATAACGTGGATCCTAACATGAGAATACAATGAGTAAAATATAAACTAGTTTGGTAAAATTTACTAAATAGTAGTCAACATAACTCAACTACAGCAGTCTAAATCGTCAGTTATTCCCCATTCAGCCATAGATTGAACAAAAGTTGTTATTATCTCATGAATTCTAATAATGATTGAAGCTAATGAAACTAACCAAGGAGGAAGTGTTCCCAAAGATTTTCTCCTACCGTCTTTCAGAAAAATGATAAGGCTTTTATGGATATAGCACAAAGTCCATTTGGACCTTAATCAGGTTTATGAAAAAAAAACATTTTTATAGATAACGGCAAATGCATTGGCAGAACTAATTTCTTTTCAATCCTGGATGGACAATGTGGTTACTTTGGTCGACAGAAAGTTTTTGAACTTTTCATAGTCTATTTTGTTTTTCAGGGTTTTATAACTATAATTCTCACATATTGTTCACATGTGCTACCATGATTATTTTCTGTTTGTTCATTTTTCAATTTTCTCTTCCTGTATCATTAGAAAACATAGGGATCCAAACCCTTTTAAAGACGTAGGCTGTATATTTCTCCTCCTTTGTTTCAGGACGATTGTTTCTCTAGTTTTTGCATGAAGGATACATCTCATGATCACCACATTAAGAGCATCCGTAAATACGAGTGAGCTGATTTATACTGCTGAGATGTTCCAAGCTATAATAATTAGATTAAGCCATCATCAACTCAGGACTTTATGTGAATGTGTTACCGTGCAATTATTGATTATATTAACTATTTCACTGTAAAGGTTACTTCGTAAATAGTAAGGTTTAAAAAATTGTGAATTTCGAGAAGTTGACAAATGTGTCTATCTTATGCTGTGATTTCCATTGGTCTTCATATTGATATTCTAGTTACAATGTAATATATTTACAAATTAAGAAAATATCCAAAACCATATCAGCAATATTTAAACTTTATTTCACCTTTTTTTATGCCAATCTGATTAAAGTAGCTCCAACCAAAAAATGTTACGATTTAAGAGACCTCAGATATTTCCGCACAAGATAGTAACAGGACTACCACAAATTCCAAACGCTCCTTTTCAACCCAAAGTATTAAGGATGAAATGATCAACAAAGCAGTTAAGCTTCTTAAAGAAGATGTTTTTATGTTACATTTAATAACAAAAAGTGAAATTTACTTCAAATCACTTGGACAGTTTATTAACGCTCGTCGTCTGGCTAATGTAACGGATTTAATTAGTTTTGATATGATACACAATAAACATCATGTAAATTCTCTTATGTTTTCAGATATCGGGTCTCTTCTGCAACCATCTGATGAAGATAGTTATTGATTATCGCGAAAGGAATTCAGTTGCTGCGTAATTGCTATTAATATAACTCAATTGAAGGAAAGTAAAATAGCTACTCAAACCCTACTAAATCCCTTCTTTCAACTCAATCAATGGTTTAAAATAATGTTTTCCAATATTTGCAGATTTCCATACATTTCTACATGCTCGGAAACAAAATGATATTGTATTTATAAAAATTAGGATTCAAGGTGGAATTCCTGTGCATTAATTCCGTTGGAAACCCGTATTTCATTACCACGTTCATTATCGTTTCTGCACTTGTCAAACTAGCCATTTGCAAGGATTTCTGTATGCGAATCATCAGATAGAAAAGTGCTAATTTCACAAATATTTCCTTGTTTCATTCTGTACTGAAATTCAACGACCATCTTGTTTCCTGTGAATGAGCTAAGAAATATCGATCTGTTAATGAAAGCTTGATTTTTTAAGTTACAGAGGAAATAATCGGAATGTTGACGAATATTTATCTATAATGGAGCAGTCAAACAAACACTGAAACTATGATCTTATGCCATCAACTAGATTTGTCTTTCATTCCGATTTTTCAGGTTTCGTTTATGATCACCATCACAACGCTCACTACGAGTATGTGCGGATATACCATATTGCATTTACATATTTAATTGCTTACTTACTCCTGTTACATCTCGCGGAAGAGCATAGACCGTCCACCAGGATTCTCCATTCAACTCCGTCATGGACAACCCTTACCACTTCTTTCCAGTTAACATTCATCCTTTTCATGTCTGCTTACAATTCTCGATGCAGTATGTTCTATCACCTTCCTCCTTACCGTTTCCCTTTACCATCACAAGTTACCACATGTCGCGTGATGCAGTTTGGTGATTTACTTAATGTATGACCTATCCACTCCTACAGTCTTTTCTTCACCTCTTCACATCGAAGCTGATTTATCCTCTTCCACAGTAGGCTGTTCATTGCTGATGGAATCCTGTCAATGGGCATTGGGTATCTGATTTTGATGATGGCTTGCAGACAGTTGTTTTGAATTGCATATGTTGTTCAATTGTAGGAATGATGTTGTTGCTTTGCCAATCCTCACCTTGATGTCTGCACCGGCTCCTTCTTGTTCATCGATGATGCTGACCAGTCAGTCAGGTACGTGTAAGTTTCCACCTATTCCAACATAGTTCTTCCATCAAGTGTGATTGGTTCGTTTGGTGTTCTCCGTGTTGTGTTTGAGGATGTTGGTGTCTTTCTTGTCAATGTTGAAGTCTAGTGCAGCAGAGACCACTACTTCACTAGTTGTTTTGATCTGTATTTGTTCATGTGTATGGGATAGAAGGGCCAGAAGATCTGTGAAGTCCAAATGGTCTAGTTGATTTCGATCTGTCTATTGTATTCTGTGTTATCCTTCACATGTTGAGGTCTTCATAATCCAGTCAACCACCAAAAGAAAAAGAAGGGGAGAGAGTTAGCAACCTTGTTTGACACCGGTCCACATTCGGAATGCATCTGTCAGCCATCCTACATGCACCACTTTGCAGTGTAGTCCGTCGTATGAATTCCAGATGATTTTCTCAGCTACTCACATAATAGTGTTGAAGAAGTTTCCTTAAGGTTCTCCTATCCACTCTGTCGCATGTTTTCGCATGGTCAATGAAGTTGATGTATAATGACGAATTACGTTCAATTGAATCGGTCTGTGCACAACCGATCTTTACGGAATGCGGTCTTTTGATCTCGAAGCTGTTTGTCTACTGAATCTTTCATCCAGTTGAGGGACACTCTGTTGAAAACCTCTTCTGGTACCGATAGTAGGGTGAATAATCTTTAGCCTTTCCAGAGTTACTGCTGGTCCCAAACTCGGTTAAAGGAGGAGAGTTGGGCATGGGGTCGGCGAACCCCATCACGTTAAAAAAAACCTTGCTAAGGAACTCTAACTAGTTTGCTTTTACATAGTTTTATGAATATTCCAAAAGTATTGTATCATAACTTTCTCATTTTTCCTATAAAATGTATTACTTTTTATTTCTTTTACAAAAATAAAATAAAATACTCGAAGTTTTGATTGTTCTTTTATTCATCCAAATTGTATGTTTGTTGTTATGTTTCATGTGATGAGAGAAGCTGAATTTGAGATGTTTTTCATTAAATCACCATCTTGGTTGATTATTCTGATAGTGACTATTTAAACTGCTTTGATAACATTTCAGTTTTTCTTTTAATCATATTTATTGTCAGTATATTCGTTGATGAACACTGCGGTTGCTGATTTATCTTAAGGCATTTTATTAAATCTGGTTACGATTTATCGGTAGACGTGTTTTCAGTTAGTCATTGAATTGCATTCTATTATCTATTGCCGATTTTATCACTGAGCATTCCTAAATAGTTTCATGTTTTGTGGACTTAGTCATTCTGTTGGTAAACTTTTCTTTACCATATTAGGAAGTATTAAAATACCAATTAAATGTATTGTATATGTTGCCTAGTTAGTAGAAAAATTGGCCTCAGTAAGATTTTGTTGTAATTGCATTGATGTGTCATATACATATAGCCTCATAATGATCTAGATCCACTCCTCCATCGATATGTTCAAAAAGATGCATATGGTCGGGACCCCTACATCAAGTCTAAATGCGAGGTATTAGTAGCTATTAAGTCTGTTTGCATCATCACCCATGTGAAACTATTTTCCACCTATGTTTCTTTGTTGAAGAAAAGTTTTGATTTAATGTTCATTGTTCTTATAGACACAACGAAGTATACCCTAACTGTAGTATCCACTATACTACCAAGTAGCATGTGAAATGATTTAGTCCTTCCTGTATTAAAATGTATTTCACCGAGTTGTGTTTATTTTTAATCCGGAACTATGCTCCAGGATTAACTTTATTCTATGCCTAGTTTTATTAGTGTCCCAACAACTATTACTGTTTTACAACGAAAGCGATTTCCGTAATATGTAGTATCATATGCGTGTGCTATTATCTCTCAAGAACACTATGCTGTTGGAAAATGCAACTTGGTCGCGTCTATGTTTCTAAGCTACAAATTCCTTTTTCCTTACTTTTCTTAGGTATTTATGGGGGTTTATTTGTGTTACATTATCCCATTTTGATAATCCAACCGACAATTTTAATACTTGTTCTTCTTCTATGAAACGATCAGTAGCTAATGGGTTAATGAATCATTTACATTAAAATTACACGATTAAACCTAACTGTGTGGTTCAAGTCTGAGATTAGTGAATAGATCTGGTTGTGATCTTTCAAATATTTTAGATACATCCTTATGATAATTAACAATATTTTTTACAGATTAAGCTGTAACTAAAAACTTGATAAATAATATTGTAGGTATTTGCTGAACAACGAAGAACCTTCATACTAAGTTAGTCTATTATTTCATCAATCATTTTCCGTCCATAAGTTGAATAAAATTTTTTTTTTGAGTAACAACGATAGCCTATTTATTTTTATTTATTTTAGCCTATTTTAAACCCCTTGCTTCTATCCAGTCAGAGGATCTAATAGAATAACCATCAAATTATAAAAGTTATTGTTTTTCATTCTGCCTTCACTAACAGAATCGATGTTTCAGTCAAGAAAGTCAATTTGTTTCCTACTGTTCACTTTTTGCACAACAATTTACTGTCAGTCAACCATCTTTGATCCTGAAACCGGTAAACATTATCCAATATCAGATTTTTCTCGTATAGAAGACATCCCATTTCTGTTACCTGATCCTGATCCCAAAAAGTATCCACCAGAATTCCTTAACTCTTTACTGAAGCATTGTAATGATCCCATGCCTAGTTACATCGAACTGTTCTCAAAAGCTTGGATTGCTTTTAAAGAAATGGGTTTAAACGAATCAAAATTTCCAAACTCTTTCTCCTTTGTTCGCCGCATAATCTCTTCTATACGTCCATTACAAGTATTCCATGCTTTATTGACAGGCCTTGTACTTACTCTGCTTCGAGCTTATATCACACGAAAGCTTTATACGGTGAGTTTTTTTTGACAACTTAACACTCACTTAATGGTTTATTATGTATTCAAATGAATGCATTGCAGTGTTTAGAAACGACGTGAGTTCTTAAGTTGTTGATTGTTTCGTATTTGATCTGGAAGATGTGTGTGGTCTTTTCTTATTTAACAAAATTGTTCACATACACTTCCCCTTACTTAATGTACGTAATTTTGTTTACAATATTATAAACTAAAGTAGAGTGATAGTTAATTATTTCAGTTTAAGGTATGCTATAATGTAAATGAAGCTACATGAAATAATCCTAGTTGGTTTGCTACCATCTGATAATCTTCGTATCAGTTCAGTGCACGCCATCTTACGTACGCCTGTCGCTTCTCGTGAATTGTAGGCTGTTGACCAAGATTTTCCAATCTGCTCTGTCCTGAGCTCTCTTTTCCAGTTGTTCTCAAGTGCTATTCGTCCTTTTAATATCTGCTTCCGATTCCCAATGCAATATGCTTTCTGGTTTGTCTTTTTTGTATTCATGCTTCCTAGTTAGGGCTTGCTTTTTGATACAGTTTGATAGTTTTCACATGTACATCCACCTCTTCCTAATTTCTTCCCCATCTGGAAGCTGGTTTGTTTTACGCTACAATAGATTGTTGATGCATACTATCTAATATTATAATATTCATTGATCACAATTGCCTATTGATAGGATGAATTAACGTTTATGTTTAGGCCTAATTGAAGTTACGTATGACTGAAAATTTCATAGCATGGTAGTGCAACTTCAGAATTTGATTTAAACCCACATCAGTAAAGTTGAATACCTTTGTTGTCAGATCCCTGAATAATGATTTATGAAGCTGTTATAACTTAAAAAAGTTCTGAGTAATTACTTGATTAGCTTTCACTGATATACAGTATACCCGGGCAGTTGTTATTTTCTGAAACCAAATGGGCTTTTATTAGAAGACAGAATAACAATGGCTGATATAGAGAATATCTAATACAAAAGTAAACATTTTCAAAAGCCATTTATTAAAACATATACAATTATAGAGTAAGGGTTTTTATAGCATACATAACAGTAGTCATTATTGATTTATATAGCTTTTGGTCTGTATACCTGGGTTTTGAGTTTTCGATCTTTAAGTGAACCTTTCATGATTAGTAATTCGTTTTCGCACCAGTTACCCTTTTCAAATTCAGTGTGTAGAGCTTGTCAATAGAATTGGCTTGACTGTGTCTATATTGCACACAGTGATCTTAGGAGATTTTACGACAAAACTTCACTAATTGTATATGAGCTAGTTGACATGAGTAATTTTAATTCATTTCACGGTGTACTTTGTGCACACTATCTGGTTGCTCAGATCAAAGTAATTAGGTTGGTTTAGAATGTTTAGATTATTTTTAGTATGATAAATGTGTTTTCAGAATTTTTCTAAGAAGATATATTCTATTTTTTTTAGAAACTTATTTCCGGTGTTGGTGTAACTCCAGAAATTTCTGGTAAACTTATCGAATCTGGTTGGAAAGGATTTTGGTTTTTTGTAATGTGGCTTTTTAGCCTAAAGGTTGTAGTTTTAAGTGGTAGAACAGATTACCAATATCCCTTGTGTGTCTTTCGCAATAACATATTTAAAAGTAAGTATGTTTCTTACGAAATTAATTGTTTAACTAGATCTACGGCTTCCTGCCGATTGCCTTCAACTAACCACCTAATTCCAGATTGTTTGTATAAACAAAATATTGGATAATATTATAAAACACCTGACAGTGTTTGGACCTTACCATATAGCTTTAACTGCGTTCTTGATATGTCTGGGACGGATTGCTATCGATTCTCGAAATTTAGAATATGTTGAAAAGTGTACTATTTAAAAGATTTGATTAATTTCATCTGATAAACATACATTTTCCGTTATCTTCGTATAATGTCAGGTAGAAATTTTAAAAAGGTGGTAAATAGTGTCATAATTACAATCATTCGTAAAAATGATCTGGCAAGAAGAGAAATGTCTTTGTCATTAGAAGAGAGCACTTTTGATCAGAATACATTTACACTTGTTTAAGATATGATAATAAAGTAAACTATTGTACATGTTTAATAAATTAAATCTATACTGAGAATGTTGACTGTGTCAAATCAATGTGCTTACCGCCGTTAAATCCTTAGATTTAAAATATAAAATAGATTAAAATTTTATTTTCATTGTCTGATGAGTTTCTATTATTATCAATATCAAATTGAATTTTTGGAATACGTTTATTCATCACATTGTTCTGTTATAAAATCATCTCACTAATTACGATTGGATTATAGTTTTACTAGTTTATATCAGTTGACATACTGATATATCTTTGAAATAAATCCTATTGTAGTGAATTGAAAGTCAAGTGGGTTAACGAATTTATTGTATTATGCAAAATTACACAAAGCTTTCCTAAAATATGGAAACTATACATTAAATACACTATTTGCACACCTTCCATCAGTTGTCCTTAACATACCTCATTGTTCTTTCAACTCTATTGTCATTCCAATTGTCCTCTGCTTTCCTTCCTGTTCTCTTCAGTTCAGTTTTCTGTTGGAGGTTATCCCACTTCCCATTACTGCTACATACCACATATATTTCAGCACAAGCAAAATACATCACAATATAATTACAAAATAATATAAAGAGATGCGTCAAATGTAATGTCCACGTACATTTTCGAGCTTTTGACAATTATATATTGATTATAGAAGGGGTTTTGTGGAGATTTAGTATTTATCATTGCTGAAAGCGTGAGTCAATTGAAGCTAGACCACCATGGAAAACCTGGAAACACTGGACGGCCGTTTCGTTCTATTATGGGACTCCTCAGCAGTGGATCAGTTGAAGTTAGACATTAACACCGTTGGATGCCAGCTCAGTGGTCTATCGGTTAAGGGCTTCGGCTCGAGACTGGTAGGTCCTGGGTTCGAATCTCGCGAGAGCAGGTCCGTGGATGCGCACTGCTGAGGAGTCCCATAATAGGACGAAACAGCCGTCCAGTGTTTCCAGGTTTTCCATGGTGGTCTAGCTTCAATTGACTCACGCTTTCAACAATTATATATTGATTACATAAAAATAAACCTTGAACTCTTCTCTGTACACCATATATTTAAATTATAAATAGGTGTTGTTTCAGGAAATTAATTTCACGGGATTCAGAGATGCTCTTTGTACTTTATAGATTTTACATTTCATCAAGACTGTAATATATTGGTTATGGTTTTTAAGGATAACTATTTTCAGTGTCGTGATCAGTTTTGATAGAAAAATGACAAGAGTTCAACAAAAAGTTTGGTTGTTGTGCTAAATAGATTTGCTTAAGTGATCTATTAAAATGACATGGAACGGATCATTTGTTAATGTCTTTCTAATTTCAGTTCAGTGTACAGAGATACGGAAACTAAAATATGAATTAACGTCATAATACAATAAATATTTCGCATAAGTGGTTCGATTTTAAAGGATATAAATATAAGATGAATATTTGTGTTTTATTAAACTTTGTTTATCACCTTGTGTTAGTGGCTACAATAGTTATTTTGTGAAGTTTGGCTGTCGCACGAAAAGCATTTTAGGCTAACCAAAAGGATTAGGAATTATTGATTTTCCAAATCCCTGATCAGAATATTTAAACTCTGAGAATTTTCAAAGAAAACCTAAGATTGCATGTAATAGATATATGTTTGTTTGTAATTGAGTTCATCAACATCCATTTCATTGTGTGATGTATGGATACAACACAAAAGTCAGTTGTTATTGACTGATGATACCTAGGCAAGATGGTGAAGTGGGTTGGTGCTGAAAGCATTCGACATCTAACCAGTGGATCTAAGATATGAACATTGCTCCATCTACTTTGATTTACAAAAATGGCTAGTATCACTAGCCTTCATGCATGATGTGGCTCAAAGTTGAGAAAATAAATTCATGATTGGTAAGGCAGTTACATTTTAAAGCTTGAAGTATCGACACTTGTTGATAAAAATGGAACTTCAAAACTGGTTTGGAATCAAATTCAAACCACTAACTTAAGTATCATGTTGTAGAAAAGTAATCCTTCACATGATCTAATATAAGGTCTCATTGATTTATAAGTACTGTTTTCCCAGTTGGTTGTATGAAATATTAGACAGTTACCAAAAACATAGCCACTCATTCGTAAAAAAATCAGCTCAACCTTTTAATAACCCGATTTTTCGCCGAATAGTGACAGTTCCGAAAGTCTCTTGAATTATTCTGATAGTATCAAGTGTGACGGAGTCAAAATTGTTCTTGATAACTAAGTAATATAATATCAAAAATATATATATGCACATAACTTGACCAACTTCATTATTTTACTCTTAAACTGAATCGTTTTAATCAGTTGGCTACTTTGACATTCCAACACCGCCTGATTACTATTGGCTTTATACGCTGCAGTTGGGGTTCTATCTACATTCATTATGGAGTGTATTTTTTATGGATTCGTGGCGTAAAGATTCTTCTGTATTAGTTCTTCATCATTGTTTGGCACTTTTACTGCTAGAAGCTTCTTTATTGTTAAGGTAAGATAAATACATTAATCTCCATAAAGTAGGTATTACTTTGCTTCGATTTATCCCTGACATTGAAAAATAAACGGAAACTAGTCAAAACAAGTTTTCTATCAACATTAATTTATACCTTACTTCTAATAATGGTGTTGTATGTCGAACGCAATCTTTCAACATCCTTTCATACTCTGTGTATGAAGCACAAAGAGTGCTTGTAGGTTTTTTTGTGAACGATTATTTAATGTGCTAAAAAATTTTGGAGAATCAAATAAGAATAAAGTGAATTATCGGGAGAATATGAAAGATCACAGTTAAACTGCGAACAATTTTTAGAACTTTAAAAATTGGAGGTAGAAATAGGTAGTGGTAAGGGGATAATTTTCTAATTTTAAAATTAAGGATAAGAGAAGAAAGTGATTTTGTCAGTACCCAACTCAAATTTTCTAATGGTTTTAGTTCTTACTATCTCTTATAAAATTGAAGAATATATATCCGTTTTCACACTGATTCCAATTCTGCTGAGGTAAATTTAATTTAATTAAAATAATTTACAAAACACGTTTTCTGTACTTGACTTTAAACTGAAAATTTTTGTGTGTGACGGATAGAGTTGGTACTCAACTAGCTTAGCTGTGTTTCAGTGTTCAAACTTGTAACTTAGCTATTAAAAGTTGAATACTATAACTCATAAACCACCAATCAACTAAGTTCGAATGAAATAATAGATAACACTTATCAGCAATAATCTTACCTCTTCTGAAAGGCCAAATGTTCAATTACGGTGACAGAAACGTACAAGTTTAAAATATAAAATAAGTTCACTAAACCATTCATGAAAACTATAAGAAATAAGTTTTGGAATTCCATCTGATGATTAGATATTCATCGATATATATTGGTGTAACAATGTATCAGTTTTAATGAGTATAAACTTAAGAAATGAGGATAGGGTTCCTTTGATTTAACAATCACAACAGCCATTCTAATTGTAGACTCAAGGAGCACAAAACACTATCAACTACTGTTGTAAATGAATCACTTTAGGCGCAGATTTATTCGAGTGGTTATTAGTGCATTAATCTCAAACTTTAGTACAAAATGAATATTTTCAACTATAAAATAAGTCAAGAAAATAGTTATGATGTTGTACAACCTCATAGAAATCCTACATCAGAAGAAAGCTTCATCTTTCTAGTAATCATCCGATTGCAACATAATAATTTGTAGCAGTGCTTATTTGAGTAAAGCTGTTAATATTCTAAAAAGCATTAGCACTTCATTTTATAGTGTATGTGCTAGGTCATGATAGCTTTGTTTAAACTAGGATCTATCCATTAATCAAATATCCCAAATTTGTGGTAACATTAATAGGAAGCGTAAATAAAAGGGTCACTATGTAAACTTACAGTTGACTTTAAATAAATTCAGCATTCATTCAAACGTCATTTACAAAATGCATCGTTACAATATGAGATGAAAATGTTTGCTTATTGTTTATTAACACAACGGTTGGCTAAAAACTTACATTGACTGATGCCTAGTTAGCCTAGAATGTAAACTTGGACCTGATGATCGAGTTTTATCAAAGCAGTTGCATCTTATATCTTTATTATTAGAACATCATGTCTCAAACTAAAAAATTTTCAACTTTATTCATCATCTTGTTGCATGTGAAGTTACATGTGAATTGTGAGTTTTTTTTAGTCGATGAGTAATGTAAGTTATCACACATTGAATAACGATTACTATTATTTCTACCTTAGGTTCAAAGGTGATAATGAGCTTTATTAACGTGAGAGTAGAATTAAAAAAGTCAGTGATTTAATCACCTTAGATGTGTTCTTAGTTCGATTATCCATTGGGGCTGTGAATAAACACTGCTAAGGGGTCTCATACTAGGACTTAACAACTATTCAATGTTGTCTGTTTTTTGATGGCTGTCTAACTAAACCCCGTCCTTGATGTCAACTATGAAATTTAAAAGTCTTCACAAACCTCGTGTAGTAATTTGTTTTCGTTTTTATGATCGCTCTTTTTTCAATTCAATCTTCTAGTCAAAAGTTCTTACTACACTTTACTCAATATTTGCTTAAAGTTTATTTCTCTCTCTATTTGTATGTTTACAAATATATTTTTTAGAATACATCGTGCGGGTGTTCTAACTTTATTTCTACATGATTTATGCGATGTATTTTTAGAAATCAGTAAAATAAATGTTTACTTGCGTATTCGACGCGGAAAACCGTATGCTATTCACATGACTATTGCTAATATATTTTTTGCACTATTTGCAACATCATGGTAAGTAAATTGGGAAGTAATATGATTCATTGGTAGATTATCATTTTATTAATACTTTTCATTTAGTTAAGTACATGCAATGCTGAACAATTTTTCGTATATAACTTTTAACAGGTCTGTACTTATCATCAAATATTTCGTGTATATGAACTTATTATACGCTTTTTTCATGAAAACAGTTTACTAATACCTTTAGTCATTACAAATAGTGGTTATAAGATGACATTATGGTAAGTAAATATTGGTATATACACCAGTAAAGAGCAAAGACAATGAAAAAGTAAAAAGTTTCGTTACCAATCTTTATTGCGCATGATATTCTATACTATTTAGATCGCCTCAAAACAACAGCTCACACTCAGATAATTCCCCAACTCAGAAAGTCTATTAAAATTAGGACGAGTAATGATACACTGTGAAATGTGTGGGTAAATCATAGAAATTTTTGAGTTCTCATTGAGGTTCAGAAACAAAAAATGCAAATTTCTCAAAATCAGATTTAACCGCACACGTGCGGTTTAAAGATGTAAAAATGATGATTTAGAGTATCCTTTTTAATTTCCAGGAAATATTACATTTCCCAACATTAAAAAATCCTTTAGTTACGAAATGAGTTTTTACTTTTGCAAAAGCTATATTTTTCCGATGGTATTTGATAAATTTTGAAGTTCGCAGTTTAATTTTGGGAATTTATAATTCAGATTTAGTTGCTGTCATACACAGTTACAGCAAATCACCAAGATCGTGTAAACTTGGAGTTCACGTTCTTTCATGCTAATGAATCAAAATTTATTTGTAATCTCCAGGATTTTAATACATAGTTACAAACATGCTATCATCGTGCTATATAGGCTTTAATTGACTTCTTTTAGAACTTAATTATGTTATTCAGTCACTATGTTATTATCAGTGGAATGTATTATAGACCTGTTTAGTCCAGACTAAATCGTTTCAAACAACTGATCTTAATCAACTAACCTACGCCGTCTGTAATCACTAGGTCTCTCTCTCTCTCAATATATATATATATATATAGTGCCAAGAATTTATGACTGACTTCAGTACCATAAGCCAAACTATTCTGTTCTCTTCTTTTCCCATCCTAGATAACTAAAGTAATTACACCACTTTTGCAAATGAAGTTATCTGATGTGTACTTGGTAAAATCAGTCAAAATATGTTTAGTTTGTTGATTAAATGTCAATAAAAAAATGATTAAAACTGAAAGATTGTCATTGACACAAAATATCATCAAAAATGGATTGAATCTCCATGACTAGTGTTGATATTGAACAATGTACTGGACAAAAATTTCAACTGAATTGATAATGATTTAATTTATTTAAATTATAATTTAAGATTGTTTATCCCTAACACTTACTGATCACATATTTTAATTATATTACTTACTAAAATACCTTTACAAAAAGCTTACAATATCAACTTTACTTACTCATTTACTTACTACTCCTGTTACTGCCAATGGAGCATAGGCCGCCGACAAGCATTCTCCAGCCCCCAAATGCCCTGGTACGGCCGATAGTGGGGAGAGTCTGCTCTCCCACTCGAAATGCTCTCATATGGCCACGCGAAAATATAGCCTCTGCCAGGGAAGTCCTACTCACTGCCTTCTCGTGGCACTACTGTTGTCTACGAAATTGAGAGGATGAAAAGCGAATGTTCGGCGCTTTAACCGGGTTGGTGGACAAGGCGAGTCCACCTAGGGGAGTTGGAAAACCCTGATTCCAAACCAATAGTGCACATGGGCTCCAGTATCCTTAAGGAACGAATGGCGTATGAATCAACTGTTGTATACTGGCTACCATGGGACTGCATCTCCTTACGATGCTCCACTGCCTTGTGGACTAGACCTTTAGGTCAAAGGCTCCGGGTGTGGCCCAATAAGAAAACCACTTGCTTCAGTCTGGGCACCTGAGCAGTATCACAGCCCTCACACAAATCAAATGAGATTTGTGAGGCGCATATTTATCTGGTGCTTCCTTGTACCAATATTTATGTGTTTAAATAATTAAATAAACCCACTCTGTCCTGGGCCTTCCTTCCTAGTTCTATCCAATTTTTATTCATTGTTCTCATGTCTGTCTCTATTTCTCGGTGTAATGTGTTCTTTGGTCTTCCTCTTTTTATTTGGCCTTCAGGATTCTATGTGAGGGCTTGCCTTGCGACGCAGTTGGGTGATATCAACTGTTCCCCTTCAAATCTCTTTATTCTATTCAAAAATATCTTCTTAAATCAAGTACTTATTTTATTAAATCTGATTTTCAAATTAAATTTGGACAGAGCTAAGGCGATAAGATTTGAGATCATTACTTCATTAAGAAAAATATAAAAATAAAGATAATTCAGCGAGGAAAACTTTTTTTTCGACGAAATCATTTACTTAGACTGTACATTAGTATTTAAGATTGTATGGTAAATATATGTCTATAGAAGGATAGAAAAGATGGCATCATAAGGTGTTTTTCGTTTTTCTTCATATCTGTCAACTGGACAATTATCTTTCATAATTCAGACCCGTAAACTATTTCCGGCATTATAAATAAATTAATATATTTCCAGTATTATTTTACCCCTTGATTATTCCATAACCTCATTTGAAAATATGAGTCTCGAGTCACTTTATGATGCAATCTTTTCTATCCTTCTATAGACATATATTTACCATACAACTGTAAATACCAATGTACAGCTTAAGTAAATGATTTCGTCGAGAAGAAAATTTTTTCTTCGTTGAACTTTATTTTTATTCAATGATACAGTAGGGTATTTTAATTAAGTATGCTGAATAATTTCACTCTAATCATATCGCTTATCGTAAATTCAGGCTGTTTTGCAGCTTACGAGAAGTCTTAAAATACAGTGAATTCATCCCATTCTTTTAATTTGGTTACTTTTGTTCTGTATACATCAATGTCTATAGTTACCGTTATTAGTGAATTCATTTGAAGTCATGTAAATACATTTCGTAAATGGGTTTACTTAAATTCTTCTGTTTTTTCTTCACAGGGTTGTTTTACGATTATATTTATTTCCATTGAAAGTCTTATACGCTTCCTCTTGGGGAGCTTATATTTGTTTAGTTGGTCGAGAAAACAGAGGATTTCTGTTTTTCAATTTACTGCTATGGGGTTTATTTGTAATGCATATATATTGGTTTACGGTATGTTTATTCTGTTTTTTCCGTATGTTCTGTTACTCTTATTAAATGATTATATATCTGCTTCCTATTGCATAATGTTCTTAGAGATACTTACTTCTACCAGATATTTTGTATTACATACCCACCGTTGTTTTTATAAATTTATATTTCTTATGCAGTTTTATGGTTGGTATTTCGTAGAATAACTTCGCCTGTAGCTCTTCCAGAATTACTACCTGTCCAAAGCCTGGGTAAAGGAGGAAGAATGCACATGAGGGCCGGAAACATCATCCCGAAGAAAAATATCTTGCTAAAAAACACCGACCAGAATAAACAAATTAAACCATACGGAGAGATTTTTGTGATCCTTTGATATGACTACAATTTGATTGAATGATGATTTTAACGAAATATACATGCCGCCAACCCTCATATATGATTATCGACTGAATTCGTATCAGAGAATAAGGGAACAAATTAAGTCAAATACGAAGATGAATCAGAGAAACAAAGTGCAGAAGCCGACCAGATGAGGGAAACATGTCAACCTCATCCGATCAAGCATGACTCAATATTTACAATCAGCTAAAAATAAGTTGAAGGCATGTGATGAGTAGGGTAAACAATATATACACATACGATCAAGGTTAATCAGCGAATAATTGACAGTGTCAAAATGTTACTTAAGAAGAATATAAATTCATTTGTCCTGATGCTAGAATAACCCATATGAGCTTGACATAGTACCAGGCACCACAAGATAACTGGTGTAGTCCTAATTTATTAATATTATCAATATTCATTTGTCTATTTTATCAATTTTTCCTCCATTGTATTTTCATTAGTTCATTGTACGTATGACTATTCGACTGGTTACAAGACCATTAGAAGCATGTGATGATATACGTGAAGATGTTGTGGATAAAAAGGTTGACAATATAAATCTTTGTAATCATAAGACTGCATCAGAAACAGTTTTAAACAATAATCATAATCATATCACTACTACTAATACTGCCTCTGACAATATTGATTCATCTTTCATTGTAAAGCAAATTAAACGAATAGAAAATAATAATAATAATAATAATGATAGTCATACTAATAAAACTTTAACCAATGGAAGTACATGCATATCAACTAAGTGCAATTAATTAGAATTTATTTGTTATATAGACAAGGATGAATCAATATTTGCACATACATAACTTGTGAACAAATTTCTATTAGATAAAATTATGTTTCCAACTCCATTCCATTGAATTCTATTCATTACTGGGTTTTTTTTGTCAATGGTTATTTTCTATACTCTTCACTTATTTTATATTCCATTTACATATCCATTAATTTGTAAGAGAGATTCAAGTTTACTTTTCCGTATGTTTTAATTGTTGTTGTTTGTCTATTTTTCAACTTCACTACAAATTGATTTTTTTGTTTGTTTCACAATGAGATAGATGAACACAAACACATACACACACACACTCACATATACATTGCAATTAATTATGGATCTTTTATAATTTCAACGGTTTCAATATGGTGGTACTTTTCCTTTATTTCAATTCAAATAACCAATATGAACGATGAAGTTCGGTTAAAGAATTCTTGTCCAACTTCATCATAGAGATAAATACAAGTCATTATATATTTTGTATTTTGTCTGTATTCTGAGAAAAAAAAACTATTAAATTTGTAACCAAATGTATATGGTGAACTTGAATTTTATTTTGTCTTTCTGTAATTTTTATGTGTAGTTATTTCTGTATGATACACGTCTAAATATACCATCTCAAGTGGAAGTCAAATAACATTTAATAATGTTGTTATTTTTATTATATAATGGGTGTGGGATAAAAAAAACTCATGGAAGGTGGAAGTACACAATTTGTATTTGACTTTCTCATATATTGCCATATGTAGATCCAATTGGGATATTGGTAAATAACTCCCTACCACTTATTCTCTCACTCTGTATATTGTATGTTATAATCATATCATCAATCTTCTTTCTTTTTTTATGTATCACTTTGAACTTCTACTGTTTTCAATATTTCTACTTTTATTATGGTTTTTGTCTTTTTTTGTCATTGTTTACACTTTTATTTTAATAATACAAAGAAATAAATAGTGATGATGAGCGAAAAGAAACTCAGCAAAAATAATGATGGCTTATTTCGTTTGATCAGTAGCTCAGTGGTCGAAGCTTTCAACTATCTATCATTAAGTTCGAGGTTCAAACCACGTTCCATCTAATTCGGTTTGTTTTTTTATAGTTAAGATCATGAGTCAATTGAAGCTAGACCACCGTGGAAAAACCTGAAAGCACTGGACGACCGTTTCGTCCTATTGTGGGACTCCTCAGCAGTGCGCATCCACGACCCCGCACTCGCAAGATTCGAACCCAGGACCTACTAGTCTCGAGCCAGAGCCTTTAACCGATAGACCACTGAGCCGGCATTCAACGGTGTTAATGTCTAACCTCAACCAATCCACGAAATTGCGCGACCAACTTCCAATATACTGAGGTAGATTCCTGTCTCTACCTGACATGGATTAACTCCACTGGCCACGACTTCTCACTAGAACTCCAGGAATTACCTCAAGGAGCTAGTCACTAGTGAGCATATGATCGTGGATTGGTTGAGGTTAGACATTGGCACTGTTAGATGCCAGCTCAGTGGTCTATCGGTTAAGGGCTCTGGCTCGAGACTGGTATGTCCTGGGTTCTAATCTCGCGAGAGCGGGTTCGTGGGTGCGCACTGCTGAGAAGTCCCGTAATAGGACGAAACGGCCATCGAGTGCTTCCAGGTTTTCCACGGTGGTCTAGCTTCAATTGACTCATGATCTTAACTATAAAATTACTAAATCTCCACAAAAGCCCCCTTGTGATAATTCGGTTTGGCCAACCGAGTAGGATTATTATCCTTTATACTTGAAATGTGCGTTATACTAAAGTACCAGGTGCTTGGGTTAGTTAGAATTGAAAATTTTTATACATTTCATTCCTTTACAACAGACTGTGTTTATTAGTTACGTGAGTTTTTGAAAGTTTTACTAAACGGTGAGGGTACTCAGTCTTCGGTTACTATTATAACGGTGGGAGACGGTAGGAATTCTGTAGACTTAAATAATATGTTTGAGTGGTGCTTAGCCTTAAAAGCTGATTTGTCGATACAAAGACTGAAGGAGACAGATATTGAAATTTAAACAATTTATTGGTGAAGGTAATGATTTTATGTAGCTGATATGTGGGCGAGAAAGATAAAGATTGGTTTTCTGCTTAGTCAGACATATAGATAGTCTGACAGGTGTCAGATGAGTTATATATTCTCTAATTATTATCAGTGATTGATTGTTCATTGTTGTTGGATTGTATCGGTTTGATGTGGAAATATATTTACGTTCTTGTCCGGCCAATAACGTGTTTTTGATCTGAGTTGTGTTGAAGTTCTGTAGAGTAGATATTTGTCTAAGGTAAATTAACGTCCCATTGGTGTAACAAGGAAAACGGACCTATATAAAAGTAGCAAAACGACAAGGTTACGTAAAGAATATTTGACACAAAAATATGACAGTATTGTCTGAAATGCAATTGATTGAACGATGTGCTTTTACTAGAGTACTCATCAGCCTGACTAACTGATCAAATTTATTGACTGCTATGCTATGTTTTTGGTGAACAGTTGTGGTGCTTCCTAGTAACTGTAACACAATAATTAGAACGTAAAGCGCAACACTGGATTTTTAGCATAATGATTACTAAATTATACCGAGTGAATCTGAACAACGCGATTTCAACGAAGCTTATGTTAAATAAAAAAGATTCATTGTCTCAGTAGTTTCCCATCACTTGTTATAAGTCGCAATAAATTACACCAGGAGACGTTCTGTCACATGTAAAAAACCATTCATATTGAGCTCTAAATAGCTAATTTCACAGTAGCACTTTAACCAAGAAATATTCACAGAGATTCATGCATGAAAATACTGTATCTTTTAGACATGACGGTAAGATATATCTGAATGTAAACGATATAATTTTGGTATGATATTTACAAGATGGGAAAAAGTTTGGGAGCATAACGTATGTTCAAGGTAAGACCACTCTCCATGAGACTGACATTATTTGATTATAAACCACTAAAGTATAATGGGTGTGTGTTGTTGTTTTTCGGTCTGCATCGTCTAGTTGGATCTAATGAATTGGATGCAGTAACTATATTTAATGACTAACATAAGCCTTGTTAAGAATACTGGATATTGAAGAGAAACCAGTGATATCTTTTCTACAGTATCTGTATCCCGTTTCTTTTTTCCGTATTGACATGCAGTGAGCAAACTTGAATCAGTGTAAACGAAAATGCTTGGATTAGGGGACATTAAATCATGTGATTATTTCAATCTAGATTAATAACAAATAATTAAGGATTTAGTGTAAAGGAAATAGCTGCCTTCTGAACAACCATAATAAGAAGGTCTACCACCGAATATTCAGTTCTGTTGACTGATTAACATGTGGGTGGACACTTACACAAGGAAGAGTAATCGTGACTTGCGAATAAAAGTGGGTAAACATGTACCAAAATATTCTCAAAAATTGGCAAAGTAATTTAAATATCTCCAAGGTATATTCAAACATATGAAATATTATCACAGATGATCGTCTCCAATAGCTTCTTCCTCAGGATCTACAGTTATTAATCCAAGATTATTATGGTGTTACATCAAAAAAAACATTGAAGTTGAATGAATCCATGGTATAAACTGAAATGAAAAATTTCACGTCGATTCAATTTTAAATACCACAGATTGTAGTGCCGCGATTCGTTAATCGTTTACTTCGATAACCGTTATAATTCTAATCTTAACGGTGCGTAAAATCAGAAGATAAAGGATAGCAGCAACTACAGTTTATTGTCGAATAACTCAGGTCAAAAAGCTAACATTACCTGAGCGAATATGGACGAGCGAGCGAGCGGCAAACGAGAGAGCGAGTGAACAGGCAGACAAGCGAAGGAAAAGAACGAGGAGCAAGCGAACGAATAGCAAGCAATTACCTAGGCAATTTATAGTCAAATTTAATAAGGGCACAGCAAAGCGAAACAAAGGCTGATAATAATATTTGCGTGCGTACATATATGGGGAGGTGTATGAGTCATGGAATGATATTTAAGCAGTCAACATTTCGGATAGAGTGTCATGTGCTCTAGTGGTATAGCAGTGCAAAGAATATGCAAATTGTTACTGTCCAAATGACAATGTCTGTTATGTAAGTTATAAAAAAGGGCTTAACCAAAATTGGCTATAATCGAAATTGATTGTAGATGGTTGCTATAATATTACTAGTGAAACAAAATAACATCACCAGTCGTGTTGAGAAAAGGTAATACATGAAGAATCGAAGATACTAAATACCTGAATTAGGGTAATGGGTTCTAATCAATAAGATAAAATTGCATGTAAAATCTAATTCATACAAAATGTGGATTGTTCTGTCATAGTTGTTGTGATAGTAATAACAACAAGAATATCATGTGAAATAAGAAAGATGAATGTACAACTAAGGATAATAGGAACTGTCTTGTAAGGGAGTGTGAATCGTACAGATTGGTGAAAGGACGAAATTGTATCTATGATTGAAACGACCCTAATGTGTGGCACGTTATACAAAGAGTATGTATATATAACTGTTTTGTATACGTAAGTTAGATTTCTTTGAGTTGATACCAATTGCTTCAGCTATATGGAATAAGCGTAGTATCGCGTCTGTTGGTAGACCATTAAGAGGTTAACAGATAACTGAGAAAGAATCTTCAATTTTAATTTTGTGTCTTTTGTCAACAGAGTGGGAGAGAATAACATTAACTATACATTTTGTAACACGTTTTCCTAATCAAGCCGGTAAGTAACACAATAATAATTTCACGTTTATGATTAGAAATCCAGATAAAAAGATGATCGAAGACGATTGTTCACACTAATACTCTTTTCTTCATTTATTCAGTACAAGAACCAGTGAAAGAGGATAGTCAACACTTATCTTCATCTACTGCCAAACATATAATTGAAGTGGTTTATGGGGCTGATCTTAATTTATCCTTTGTTGTATTGTATAACAGTAATGTAAGGAGAATTCTATGTTTTTTTGACTGTACATTTAGCTTAACCTACCTCATATGTTCGGAAATATTTTAAACTTATATCAAATCTTAACTGGATAATATTGATTTTGTTTTAATAAACATGATGGTGTAATTCGCATTGTTTTTCCTTATCATCTTTACTTCTTATCTTCCGAATTGTTTAGCTTAACCGCTGTTTTCAGATGTATCTTAACAAGTAAAGGTGTTATTAGATTGTTTGAATTGTAATAAATTAACATATATCACAAGAATTTAATTACCTTCTTCTTATTGAATTATCTTAGTTTTATCAATATTTGTCCATTGATTAAGTTGTATGATTGATTGATTTATCAGTCTTTAAGTACCTTGAACTCATTCCATTTTGTTAAATCAATAATCTGTACTTTATTATACACATAAAGTAATTAAAACTTTATCAATCAATTAATTATTCGGTTGTTTGATATTCATTGTTGTTATGTCTTTTTTTTAAACTGCTTCTTTTATTCACTGTCTCTCAAATGATTATGTCATGACATTTTCTAATTACATCATATTCAAAGGTCATATTGATTAGTGTTTGAAACTTGAAACCATTCGCAGCATTACGTTCTAGGCCTAATTGTAATTTATGTTATTTTTTCTGTGGATATTTTATATGAGTAGTTAGTCATAATGTGTGTAGAATCTCGCACAAATCCCCATCCTTCCAAATTATTATGCCATATCAATACAGTGAAGTCACATTGATAGAAATGCTGATTCCGGACTATCCCACCTAAAGTTTCTCATGTAAGTAATTCTTATAATACTGTTCACAGTTAAAGCAAATACAACTTGGTTTTCAATATTTTGTTTTTGTTCTTGACAGTACTATGAGAACGGTAGTCAAGTAAAGTCTAGACGTACCGAGGTCAGATTATTCATAATTGCAGCTTACAAAACAATTATTTCATCTTAAACAAAGTGGTGAGGAATAATTTTGTATTTTAAAATTCGATAGTCAATTAAAAGGTGTAATATAAAAGC